GGAAAGATTTTGTAAGTCGCGCCGTATACCGTTTCAGGACTGAACTTCGCAGTTGCGCCGCGGGTTAAAAATGAGCCGTCAGTCTTTTTTCAAGTCGCGGCCTCAGTATTTTCGTAATATGCGCCGCTTATATCCTTTGTTAAGTCGGGCCGTCGGTCTTTTCGTAAATCGCGCCCTCAGTCTTTTCGTGGGTCGCGCCGAGTTTTTTCAAGGCTTCTTTAGAAAAAAATCAAAAAACTGAGAAAAAAAATTGATTTTTGAAATTTTTGTTCTTTTTGTGAGTACCTTTTTTTGAATACACCTAATAACTTAGAAAGTTGAAAATATCTATGTTCTAGGCTTTCGTGCAGATCCTATTCCACGAGAAACATGATACAACTTGAACCACAAGGAAACTGTTCAGCTCCACTCTCATATTATTTGATTTTTTTTTAGTTCTGTACCCGAGTCGAGGTCCGCGATTTGAGGAAAGATTTTGTAAGTCGCGCCGTATACCGTTTCAGGACTGAACTTCGCAGTTGCGCCGCGGATTAAAAATAAGCCGTCAGTCTTTTTTCAAGTCGCGGCCTCAGTATTTTCGTAATATGCGCCGCTTATATCCTTTCTTAAGTCGGGCCGTCGGTCTTTTTGTAAATGGCGCCCTCAGTCTTTTCTTGGGTCGCGCCGAGTTTTTTCATGGCTTCTTTAAGAAAACATCAAAAACTGAGAAAAAAATTGATTTTTGAATTTTTGTTCTTTTTGTGAGTACCTTTTTTTGAATACACCTAATAACTTAGAAAGTTGAAAATATCTGTGTTCTAGGCTTTCGTGCAGATCCTATTCCACGAGAAACATGATACAACTTGAACCACAAGGAAACTGTTCAGTTCTACTCTCATATTATTTGATTTTTTTTAGTTCTGTACCCGGGTCGAGGTCCGCGATTTGAGGAAATATTTTGTAGGTCGCGCCGTATACCGTTTCAGGACTGAACTTCGCAGTTGCGCCGCGGGTTAAAAATGAGCCGTCAGTCTTTTTTCAAGTCGCGGCCTCAGTATTTTCGTAATATGCGCCGCTTATATCCTTTGTTAAGTCGGGCCGTCGGTCTTTTCGTAAATCGCGCCCTCAGTCTTTTCTTGGGTCGCGCCGAGTTTTTTCAAGGCTTCTTTAGAAAAAAATCAAAAAACTGAGAAAAAAATATGATTTTTGAAATTTTTGTTCTTTTTGTGAGTACCTTTTTTGGAATACACCTAATAACTTAGAAAGTTGAAAATATCTATGTTCTAGGCTTTCGTGCAGATCCTATGCCACGAGAAACATGATACAACTTGAACCACAAGGAAACTGTTCAGCTCCACTCTCATATTATTTGATTTTTTTTTTTAGTTCTGTACCCGAGTCGAGGTCCGCGATTTGAGGAAAGATTTTGTAAGTCGCGCCGTATACCGTTTCAGGACTGAACTTCGCAGTTGCGCCGCGGGTTAAAAATGAGCCGTCAGTCTTTTTTCAAGTCGCGGCCTCAGTAATTTCGTAATATGCGCCGCTTATATCCTTTGTTAAGTCGGGCCGTCGGTCTTTTCGTAAATCGCGCCCTCAGTCTTTTCTTGGGTCGCGCCGAGTTTTTTCAAGGCTTCTTTAGAAAAACATCAAAAAACTGAGAAAAAAAATTGATTTTTGAATTTTTTGTTCTTTTTGTGAGTACCGTTTTTTGAATACACCTAATAACTTAGAAAGTTGAAAATATCTGTGTTCTAGGCTTTCGTGCAGATCCTATTCCACGAGAAACATGATACAACTTGAACCACAAGGAAACTGTTCAGCTCTACTCTCATATTATTTGATTTTTTTTAGTTCTGTACCCGGGTCGAGCTCCGCGATTTGAGGAAAGATTTTGTAAGTCGCGCCGTATACCGTTTCAGGACTGAACTTCGCAGTTGCGCCGCGGGTTAAAAATGAGCCGTCAGTCTTTTTTCAAGTCGCGGCCTCAGTATTTTCGTAATATGCGCCGCTTATATCCTTTGTTAAGTCGGGCCGTCGGTCTTTTCGTAAATCGCGCCCTCAGTCTTTTCGTGGGTCGCGCCGAGTTTTTTCAAGGCTTCTTTAGAAAAAAATCAAAAAACTGAGAAAAAAAATTGATTTTTGAAATTTTTGTTCTTTTTGTGAGTACCTTTTTTTGAATACACCTAATAACTTAGAAAGTTGAAAATATCTATGTTCTAGGCTTTCGTGCAGATCCTATTCCACGAGAAACATGATACAACTTGAACCACAAGGAAACTGTTCAGCTCCACTCTCATATTATTTGATTTTTTTTTAGTTCTGTACCCGAGTCGAGGTCCGCGATTTGAGGAAAGATTTTGTAAGTCGCGCCGTATACCGTTTCAGGACTGAACTTCGCAGTTGCGCCGCGGGTTAAAAATAAGCCGTCAGTCTTTTTTCAAGTCGCGGCCTCAGTATTTTCGTAATATGCGCCGCTTATATCCTTTCTTAAGTCGGGCCGTCGGTCTTTTTGTAAATGGCGCCCTCAGTCTTTTCTTGGGTCGCGCCGAGTTTTTTCATGGCTTCTTTAAGAAAACATCAAAAACTGAGAAAAAAATTGATTTTTGAATTTTTGTTCTTTTTGTGAGTACCTTTTTTTGAATACACCTAATAACTTAGAAAGTTGAAAATATCTGTGTTCTAGGCTTTCGTGCAGATCCTATTCCACGAGAAACATGATACAACTTGAACCACAAGGAAACTGTTCAGTTCTACTCTCATATTATTTGATTTTTTTTAGTTCTGTACCCGGGTCGAGGTCCGCGATTTGAGGAAATATTTTGTAGGTCGCGCCGTATACCGTTTCAGGACTGAACTTCGCAGTTGCGCCGCGGGTTAAAAATGAGCCGTCAGTCTTTTTTCAAGTCGCGGCCTCAGTATTTTCGTAATATGCGCCGCTTATATCCTTTGTTAAGTCGGGCCGTCGGTCTTTTCGTAAATCGCGCCCTCAGTCTTTTCTTGGGTCGCGCCGAGTTTTTTCAAGGCTTCTTTAGAAAAAAATCAAAAAACTGAGAAAAAAATATGATTTTTGAAATTTTTGTTCTTTTTGTGAGTACCTTTTTTGGAATACACCTAATAACTTAGAAAGTTGAAAATATCTATGTTCTAGGCTTTCGTGCAGATCCTATTCCACGAGAAACATGATACAACTTGAACCACAAGGAAACTGTTCAGCTCCACTCTCATATTATTTGATTTTTTTTTTTAGTTCTGTACCCGAGTCGAGGTCCGCGATTTGAGGAAAGATTTTGTAAGTCGCGCCGTATACCGTTTCAGGACTGAACTTCGCAGTTGCGCCGCGGGTTAAAAATGAGCCGTCAGTCTTTTTTCAAGTCGCGGCCTCAGTATTTTCGTAATATGCGCCGCTTATATCCTTTGTTAAGTCGGGCCGTCGGTCTTTTCGTAAATCGCGCCCTCAGTCTTTTCTTGGGTCGCGCCGAGTTTTTTCAAGGCTTCTTTAGAAAAACATCAAAAAACTGAGAAAAAAAATTGATTTTTGAATTTTTGTTCTTTTTGTGAGTACCTTTTTTTGAATACACCTAATAACTTAGAAAGTTGAAAATATCTGTGTTCTAGGCTTTCGTGCAGACCCTATTCCACGAGAAACATGATACAACTTGAACCACAAGGAAACTGTTCAGCTCTACTCTCATACTTTTTGATTTTTTTTAGTTCTGTACCCGGGTCGAGGTCCGCGATTTGAGGAAAGATTTTGTAAGTCGCGCCGTATACCGTTTCAGGACTGAATTTCGCGGTCGCGCCGCAGGGTTAAAAATGAGCCGTCAGTCTTTTTTCAAGTCGCGGCCTCAGTATTCTCGTAAGATGCGCCGCTTATATCCTTTCTTAAGTCGGGCCGTCGGTCTTTTCGTAATTCGCGCCCTCAGTCTTTTCTTGGGTCGCGCCGTCAGTTTTTCTCTAATTTGCGTCGCTTAAGTCTTCTCTAAGTCACGGTGTTTCTCTTTTGGTAAGTCGCGCCGCATAATTTTTTTCGTTTGTTCCGCCATCGGTCTTTTCGTAAGTCGCGCCGTCGGTCTTTTCGTACGTCGCGCCGCCAGTTTTTTCGTAAGCCGCGCCGTCAGTCTGTTTTAAGTCGCGCTCTCGGTCTTTTTATAAGTCGCGCATTCAGTCTTTTCTTAAGTCGCGCCGTCGGTCTTTATATAAGTCGCGCTGTCAGTCTTTTCGTAAGTCGCGCCGCCAGTCTTTTCTTAAGCCGCGCCGTCAGTCTTTTCGTAAGTCGTGCCGTCAACCTTTTCTTAAGTCGCGCCGATTAAGTCTTCTCTAAGTCGCGCCGCCCATTTTTTCGTAAGTAGCGCCGTCAGTCTTATCATAAGTCGCGGCGTTTCTCTTTTCGTAAGTCGCGCCCCATAATTCTTTCGTTAGTTCCGCCGTCGGTCTTTTCGTAAGTCGCGCCGTCAGTTTTATCTTAAGTTGCGCCATCGGTCTTTTCTTAAGTCGCGCCGCCAGTTGTTTAGTAAGCCGCGCCGTCAGTCTATTTTAAGTAGCGCCGTCGGTCTTTTATAAGTCGCGCCGTCAGTTTTTTCTTAAGTCGCGCCGTCGGTCTTTTTATAAGTCGCGCCGTCAACTTTTTTCTTAAGTCGCGCCGCCAGTCTTAGCGTTTTAAAATTTTAGTGTCATCAGCATAAATAACACCTTCACTGTGCCGTGGTTTTTTAGGAACATCATATAAGCCTCATAAAGGCATCAGCAAAAAGTAGGATTTTCGAGACCATATAGTACGTGCGGTTCAATTTTCAAGGTGAGCTTTCGTAAATAAGTCATAGCTTAAATGGGAGCCGGTTTTATGCGCTTTTGTCAACCTAAACAATTATCCGTGTTAGAGCGGGTTGACCAAAAAAGGTAACCAGATTTCTAATAAAGGTTAGGCTACTTATAAGACCATTCTGACTTCTTACTACAAAATACCTTTGGGAAGGCTCTTTAATTCGAATTTTATATCTGAGAAACAAAATTTAAAAAATTACCTGTTCGATGGTTTAAATTTGGATCCGATATTGCTGCACACAAAACCTGTCGTGTAAGAAAAGGTCGAGTTTGGATGAAAAATACGAGATTGGAGTGAACCCATTTTAACAAACTTGTTTTGATCAGCTTTAGATTGTTTAAATTTTTAAAATGTGATAACCCATTTTGTATTAAGTATAATGCAATATTGATTGTCGCCAAGGATGCTAATATTTTCCCCTACCACGATACGCATCCTTTGCTTTGAAATGGGTTTATCGCTTGGTCTCTTTTATCTTAAGTACTTAACCAAGGTAACATACATGGATGGCAATATAGTTGGGCCCTGGGGTTTTTCTCAAGTTGGTTAGAGCTTTTTCCTCAATCAGAATTCTTTTTTCAGTCATTTAACTGTTTTAGATGTAATGGCGCAGCTCCATTGATAGGTCTCTTTTATCTTACTTGATGAAAAGATAAAGTTTGCGGGTAGCAGATGTAGATTTTTCGCTACTCAATAAATAACTTTCTGATTTTAAAAGTCAGATATATGCCAACGTCGACAACAATTATGGACCTTAAATGTTATATACAGAGCTGATTTGAACTATCCGAACAACACAGACTTAATTAGAAATTTGGAAGTTGTTCTCAATTTTGATTAATGTCAGACAAAAAGTGATCAACACAAAAACTTTTAGTTTTTTTAGTTTGCTCTTTTAGTTTTTTTTTGTGATATTTGAAGAAATTTTGCGGTCCTTTTTCCTTTTGTCTTTATGATCTTGGTTTAAAAAGTAGACGAACAGATTTTGCTCATGGAGATGCCACCCGACAGGCTCAGGCTGATTCCTTTTTGATATTCTTCCTAGCCGAACTTTATTGTAAACGTACATTTTCAAAAATTTATGCTTATAAGTTTTTGCTTGAAAATAAAATTTTTGTTATTATAGCTGCGTACCACCATACCAGCTTTTCTAAGCGCAATTCAATTAGCGCAGTTCGTGCCCAAAATTTTGCACCAAAAACATGTCAGCTTCCGCCCCTTTTAGTCGATTAAAAACTCTGCTAAAACTCCACTAAGACCTTCTCAGTCTTAGGAGGAAAATGAGGCGCAAGAAAATGTAACAAAGTTTCTGTATAACCAAAACGAAGTTCATCTGACAGCTGAGAAGTGTGATTTTTGTCGACCACATACGAAGAAGGAAAACTTTTTATTTTTTGCAGCATAATTGTACGAACCT